CTTCTACCCTGTCTTTCAAAAGTATTTGAAAAAGTATTACTATCAAAGATGCCTTCTTTCTTCCATGAAAATCATACAATACCAAATGCATCAATTCGGTTTTGGTGCGAAACATAGCGCAATAGAACAAGTAAATAGAATTAATAACTAGATAAGGAAAGCATTTGAGCACAGGGAGTACTGTTCAGCAATATTTCTAGATGCAGCTCAGGCTTTTGATAAGGTATGGAACGAAGGTCTTTTATACAAGATAAAAAAAATTATACCTTTAGAATTATATAAAACATTGGAGTCTTATTTAAAAAATAGTAAATTTATGGTAAAAGTTGGAGATTTCATATCTGATGAACGACAGATAAGGGCTGGTGTACACCAGGGCAGTGTTTTAGGCCTAACACTATACATCATATATAAAGAGAACTTCCAACAGCTAATAATGTATTATCTTCAACGATTGACAACGACACAGCTATAGTGAGCCGTAACAAATGCCATATTTTAGCATCAAGAATATTACAGAGCGAACTGGCGTATAAATGTGAATGAACAGAAGTGTAAGCATATTACATTTTCACTAATTTCAAAGATGTGCTCGGCAGTAAAAATAAACAATATGGAGAGAACACCTCTCTAGTAAAATAACATGTATGAAGATAGAGCTGTAAATTTAAATTGGCTTTTAAATAAAAACTCCAAACTTAGCCTAGACAACAATGTGCCTTTATATAATGCGGTGATAAAGCCGATTCGGATGTATGGCATTTAACTGTGGAGTACGACCTGTGCAACTAATATTAATATATTCCAAGGGTTTCAATTAAAAATGCTTAGAATAATCACGTGTTCACCATGGTACACGCGTAACGAAAAGATCCATAAAGACCTCGGTGTCCTTATGGTAAAAAACGAAGTAGAAACCAGCAGAATATATATGTAAACTCCGAGTTTTGGTGATCCCTTTGGCTAATGCTTTGGTATATTCCTGCAATCAAACACGACTTAAAAGAAAAGATATGACTGCGTATTAAAGAGCGACGTATCACCAAAACAGTTTAATCACTTTAATAACTTATTGTTAGGCTTTAAGAAAAACAGACACAATAAATAAAATAATTTTGGAAAAAAAAATTACATGCTTATATTCATGACAAATACATATCTATGTTGCCATATATTTTTGTGAAAAAATATTCAAAAAAATTTCCGTACTAATTTTTTTCATTCATTTAAGTTATATATCGTATATAATTTAATAAATATAGATAGATAGTTCTTTGTGCCGAACTTTTTCCTGCTTGAAAAATATAACCCTAGTCGGTCCAACACCGGGGTGTTCAGTGTGGCAGCACTAATATTTGTAATAAATGTAAAGTCACAAATTTTTAAAACTGCAAACTACAAGCATACATACATACATAATACGCACAAAGTTTATTTTCTTTGTTTATTCTCTCTGTATCTTCTAATATGGATCATTCACAATGCGTAACTAGCTGTCAGAGTTACTTAAAGAAATAATGTATTTTTTTACTTTAGAGCTGGATAAAAACCTTAAAGGTACATATTTTCACTTATCAAATAATAATAGGATATTTAACTATTAAGTAATTCTCCCACTTTATTGTAAATGTCAGTATTCGTTGTTTTATCACCTTCAGGCATTGGTAAATCGTTCACTTTTTTTGACACATCCCGCCGGCGGACTCGTCGCAATGCCATGACTATTTGTTCCAAACATAACCATTAATGTCTTCAAAGCCTTCGCGTTGGTGAACTAAAGCAAACACTTGAAAATATGTTAATCAATTTTCGGGAAGATTAGATTTCCAGCAATTAATTGCTCGTCTGCTAATGCTGTACAAAATGCTACAAAAAGTTCTTCCATTTGTTGCTCAAAGGCTTCCCCAACATTTTGTGAATATTTTTTTTATTATGTATTCACTATTAGCGATTGGAAGGATTGAAGTGACTGTAGAAATTTTTCTTTGTTGTTACTTTGTTTATATAGTCCATTAAACGAACAATTAACATAATTGTACTAGTTTTGGACGAATAATCCATTTTTCTGAAAGTATCGCAAATGTTGAAAAAAGTTATGTGCAATTTGTTTACACCTACTTAAATCAATTTAGTGAGTGTGTTTCGTCTGTGTGAAAAGCACCCATACAAGCATCTCGATGGTATTTATTTAAAGCCTCCATACGACAACTTTCGGAACACTATTGAACTTTATAATTGAGACATTGTGCAAACTGTGGCCACTATGGTATTGTTGGATCGTACTCTGGCAAAGGCACTAGAAATACTCTGTTATTTACCAGGCGAAGCGCATTTGCTACAACTGACGAATTAAAAAAAAAAAAAAAAAAAAAAAACCAAGCCTTGTTCCTCAATAAATTCTTTAGGAACAACATATAACCAAGTACTTACATAAATACAACGGCAATGTTACATTGTTTGACGACACCTCGAGTAATCGCACCGGCTTCCCCAACACAATTTCAGAATTTTATAATAAATATTAGCAATATTATATTGCTACCACAAAATAAATTTAGCTTAGACTCAATAAATTCAATAAATAATTTTTCATTAGCTGAGAAAGCTAAATATGTAGTAAAAGCCTTTTTACAAAAATTTTAAAAAATATAATAATTCAAAAATACAATGAATCAATTAAACTTACATACACTTAGTTCTATTAAATTACGACATGTTTATTTGTTTTAAAATTAATAAATTTTGTGTTTTCTTTATCCATTTCAAAAGATGTATATTTAACAATACATATAGCATATGAAAATATTTTTTTCTACACAAATAAAAAAAATTGATGCTAAAGCTTAAAATGCGCCTAATTCATATCAAAATAGTATACACAAATGAATATTTATATAATGCAAAAGTAATTACAATAGTTTTAGCGGTTTTTGGCATTTTGTTGCAATTATTGCCCCTAGACGTCGACGCATGATCAATTTATAGTATTATTTTCGGCGGTTTTGACCCACTATTAGCCTTATTTTGATGAAATTCGATGTTTTCGAATACTGTTTCCAAAAAGTTCTAGATATTTCGAATAAGATTAATGTTTGATGATTGCGGGACTTAATGAGTTTTTTTTTAATTCCACAACAACCATTCACGTACAAGATACAATGTATATTTTGGGTCGGTATCTTGATGGAAATTGATTTTGCTGTTAACAGCCGATTTAACTCGGTACAAGTCAGTAGTGCGTTACGTTTTTGAAAAGTTTGGTTTTTCTAACCACATTTCGCACAAATCGTTGCGAATTTTGGAAAAGGCTTACGGTAATTCAGTTTTATCAAAAACAATAGCCTACGAGCGGTTCAAAGTCGTTGAAGGCATGCCTTGTTTTGGACGACCTTCGACCTTTTCCACTGTTGAAAATATTAAACGGGGGAAGGAAAGTCGTCTTGCAAGTGTTAGAGAGATGGCAAGAGAACCCGACGTCCGCTCCATTGATTTTGGTTGATATTTTGAGTATAAAACGCGTTCTTGCTCGACGCGTCCCGATAAAGCTGAATTTTTTTCAAAACATTTCCGTAAACAAGTCTCTATGGACTTTCATGATCGTACGAATTCCAATGCCACATTATTGGAAAGTATTAACTGCAAATTAAGGGTTAATGAGTTTGACACCCAAACAAGTCAACAATCATCGGAATGGAAGTAAAAAGAACCGCTCAAAAATCAAGGTTATTCTCATTGCTCTTTTTCGATATTCATTTTTGGTGCATTATGCATTTGTTCCGGAGGTATAAATCGCATCGAGCCACGATTGTGACCGAATTTAAAGCCAAAACCGCAATGAATACCATTGATCAACTACGGTACTCACCAGATTTGATCTTATTTGGTTCCCGAAAAAACCATTTATTCTGTTGTTTTTTTCCTTAAAGTCCTGTTTACTTTGTAACGCACCTTGTATAGCACAATTTCATATTCCACCTGATTTTATTATTTTCAGTGCACAAATCCAGAAGCAATTCATATAACGGGATTAAAATTTGCACGAATAATGCCTTTGGTGTATGCCACCTTATGAGAAAAAAATGTTCAAATTCAATTAAAACTGTTGAAGCCCCTAGCTACCAAATATTTGGACCCTAGTACCCATATTTGATTTTTGATCGGCCAATATCGGTGTTAGATATATAATTGAAATTCAGAGAAAATACTTCTCTGATAATGGTATGTTATTAAAAATGGATTGAATTGAACCAATATTTCTTTAGCCCCCATATATCTAATAAAAAGATACTCGAACTTCTGGATGTCTTTGTGCCTCATATATCGGCCAATATATAGTTATCTCAATGAAAATGAGAGAGCATGTTTTAAATATAATATAACAGTATATGTTTGTGCCTAAAATATATTAATTTGAGCGAAAACTCGACGTACCCCCATATAAATAATAACAGGACTTTTGAAATTCCGCCTGACTTTACTCTATATGATTAGTTTTTTAGTAAATAACAAGTTTATGCGAATCCGTAGTATGATGTATTGGGAAAAATAGATAAAATCTGGTCGATTCTAGCCCATATACTGTATATAATGACTTCCGTTTTTCTAGCAAACCTTGTGTGTCTGTCAGTGAATGAGTTATATACAGTATATGTATATATACTACTACTGCTTTAATACCATAAAGTATTTCCCTGGCGTTTTCTTTTGTAAGTTGCAAGAATATAAAATGTGCGGTTGCACCCGAATTGTACGAACACCTAAAGGTACTTCCTCGACTTTGAACCTTGCCAGTTTCAAGAGTATGAAATGTTCGAACTTTGCTCTTCCCTAATTTTTAACACTACGCTTTGTCAAAACATGAAAACATTGCATTGTTTGCACCTCTGATAGTTGTAAATTTAAAGATTGTTCAACTGCACCCAAAATCGGACATTATATAATATATGCATATTTTTGCATCATTTAAAAATGTATATACTAATGAAATATATTTAAAACAGACTTATTGGAGGGCAACGCATCCGGAAATAAGTGTCGTTGGCTCTATTCCCAAATCAATGATTGTACAGAACTCATCACCAATGGCAGATCAAAATAGATTTAATTCAACATCCACAGGTAAATGTATATTGAATGATTAATACATACTGATTTATTTTAAGCATTAATAGTTGACAAATGAGAATTTGTTGGGACATAAATAACATTTTTTAATTTCTAAGAAAAAGCCATACGCAACTGAAATGTCAGATGAGAAGCGTGAATAGATTAAACGAATGAGTCAATCTGACAGGAAAGTTGTCCAAACTGTTTTTTCTTAAAGAGGCATAGATCATGACACTATAGTGTCGCGAAGACTAGTGGTCGTATAGGTAGCATTGACGACAGCAGCAAACGGTGCAATCAGTAGCCAGTATTCAATATTAATATGAATTGCATGGGACTTGACCTAGATGTGACTAAACAACGTGTGCATCAAATAATAAGAAAAGATGCGTGCCTTCCGCTTTCAGAAGCCGCTACAACTACTGCTTCTAAGGTCATTCTCTTACGTAATCCGATGTGAGATTATAGCGTTAATTGTTGTCTGGTTATCGACGTATATACTTATCCTTTTTATGTTGTTTCTTGCATTTTTAGCTATCTCCCCCGCTTTACAAACTGCAAAGACTTCCGCCTGGAAGATACTGCAGTATTCCGTATTAGTGGATCGCCTGAAGTCTAGCTCCGAGCTATAGATTTCGGCAAATGTATAGATGTTGTGAGAAGATACTGTGTTGCAGGATCCTGCGTGTGTGTCATTTGCAACCTTTTCTCCCAAACAAAGTGTGTGGTTACGTACTTTCTGTCGCAATGTTAATTGGTGGTAGATTGCGAAGCCTTTCTGGTGCCGTAGTTGGAGTGGTTCTTAGCGCTCCCGTTATGCAGAGAAATCACCGTGTCCATGCCGCTGTGTAACACCATTGCGTAAGGCATTGTGATAGGTTCCAAGTACACTCGTATCATTTTCTTACATGCGTATAGGACAACAGTGGCCTTTTTCACTCTCTCTTCCACATAAAGTTTCCATAATAAGAAAAGATGTATTGCTCAAATAAGAATATCGATTGCCTAAAGCAACGTCATAAACATGCAAATTGTATTTTATGAAAAATATATATTTTGGGCCGAAGAATTCCAGTAATGAAAAMRAATTTAATTTGGACARACCATATGGTTTTCATAGRTACTAAAGGTTGCTGGTTCACTCATGATATGGGCAGTTGCTTAACTCCCGGAAAATTGTATTGCTGAAGTGGCCTGTCTAGTCTTGATTTGAATCCGATCGACGATCTGTGGAGAATTAGTTAAAGCAAAATTTATGAAATTTTCAAGCAATGTGACAACCTTAAGCTACTAAGCTAAACTTGCAATTTTAACCAAAGGGGATGTTCATATGTGCGTGCTAAAAAACTAGWGCAGCCAAARCTTCATCGTGTCCAATTGGTTAAAATACATAAGGGTATCACAATCCCTTATTAAAAAATTAAATACTATTTGTATTTTTATAAATAAAACGATATATTGTTATATTGAAATATTATTTTGCACATATARATATTTCATATGTAAATTACAGAAATGATTAGTTTTTTAATTAATAAAGGTATTTAATATAATTTAGCTGTTTAATGTTTAATTTTTAACTATTGGCAGGTTCTTACTTCAGCACTTTAARTTTTTTTAAAGAAAACAGCAAGTGCAGAAATCGCAAAGTGCATATTTAGGATAAATTAAGTTAACAGGTGAATCCTTCTAAACTTCTAAATACTGGATCATAAGACCCTTACAGATCCACAAAGCACTTTGAGCCAATTACAAATTGGTGAAGAAGGCAATGGCAAAGAAGTTCCTGGATATTCCCACCCCACCCTTCTCTTATAACTTTGACAACTAGGGTCTGCATAAATGCCTATTGGATAGTGTCCAGTCAGAACTTCTACAATTGCGGAAAGATGAGCCACTAACTCAGTAGACCTCTTCCATTTTACTCTAGATCAAAAGCGCCTTGTAATCGCACAGTCTACCAGCGTCAAAGGTCCGGTGTTAGAGCACAAGACGCTAGTGGAGATGGAACTTCATCCCCGCCTTTCCGATGTGAGCTGGGCAGAGTGTTCACTTACGCTCGCTCACCGGGTTTGCAGTTACCAATGATTCCGTTGGACTAGCCACGCAAACGAGCCTGATGTTGAATCACCTTGATGATCTTTTTTATAAGGACAGACACTCCTTGATTAGCTTTGAACTCACAGTTACCGAGCTCTGCTGCCGTAGTGAATGCTCGTCTCACTGCAAGATGATGTATTTCTTAGCAGTACGTCTAACGCAATCTTGATAGCAGCCGCTTCTGTCTAAAAATTACAACTGTGATCCGGTAGCTTACAGCTAAGATTGACAGAGAGTTTCGTAGAGAAAAACCACAGTGCACTGGAATTGCCGATGAACTCGCATTCTTCGTACAGGTCAGGAAGCAGCACTTTTGATAGGTTCTGCATCATGATCGGAAAAATTTCGTCCATATCTGGAGATTCAAACGGTTCTAAGCCGTAGATTGCTTAAAATATTTTGTCTTTCATCATGATATCTACAGGAATGTACTCTATTGCGCACCAACACGTGGGGTTTCGCGGGTGGATTGTCCCTCTTGCGACCTCTGCCGCGTAAACGAAGATTGAAGCTCGTTAGGCCCCTTTTTTCCCAGGTGCGCGCTACTTAACATTCTTCTGGTTCACTCAAGTTTACAAGCGTGCTGCTCAAATCCTAGTAAGCCTATTTTCCACCGTAGCGCTTCCAATTTTGGATACAAATCGACGGTCTGACTAGCTTTTTAGCTGCGGTTTCCCAATTACTCAAAGGGCCTTAACACTTTCTGGGGACCCCGTGTCCCCATGAACTTAAAAGATGTTCCTCTACTAGTGCTGGAAATTCTGCTTCGCACTTCCTTGACGTCTGTCGGTAACTTTCTACCAACTCCCCCAATGTTGTCTCAGATATGAGACCAAGGCGAGGGTTGACGTACGCCTTAATGAGGCAATTCCTTCAGAGTCGATCAGTGCAAAGAAAGACTCGTCTCTACCTACCTCATCAACTTCATAATGACTCGAAGGGAACGTATAATATAATATAATTAGATACAAATTTGATTGGAATACTTTCACGATTTCGTCGAACCATAAATATTTAATTCTTTCGCAATATTTGTACACTCTTACAGTTTTGCCTACTTAACGGATGTTTAGCGAGAAATAAATCTATATAGTTATTAATATATAAATTACCAGAATGACGAATAGAGTTGAAAACCTGGTGACCGTCTGTTCGTTCGTCCATTTGTCTGTGGAAGCTTTGTACACGTGTTCTTTGCCAAAAAAGGGTGCGGTAAAGCAAATGAGCCAAAAATAATAATGATCAATATGAATTCTCTACTCTCTCCATATCGCAGATCTACGTGTATACCAAATAGCAGATTTTTGGCAGATATTGTATTTTGCTTATGCCCACTGTTTTAATTGTCACAAATAGTACAAACCAACTGGTGAGTCCTCGATTTTAGTTGTACCTAGTATTGTTATAAATTCTGTTACAAAGTTTACAATGCAAATTCGAAAAAAAAGTTGTCGTTATCATACTCCGAAAGAAGATATATTAAGTTCAATCAACATGATGAGCTGAGATGATTAAGTCTGCTCATCTGTCTGAGCAGTCTCTCAGTTTTTTAAATATCTATTTGAAATTTTGCACAACTCCTTTTGTGTTCAGGAAGGTGATCATTTGCCGGAATCGCCGATATCGGATCATTTTAGCATTTAGCTTCCATACAAACCGACCATGAGTTATTGGCCAAGGCAATGGAGCCACTTCTGAAGAAATTGTTCAGAACGGATCACTATACATATAGCTGCAATACGAACTGAAGGACCGGAAACAAGTGCTTATATGTAAAGCCTTTTCATTTGAAGAGATATTTCCAAGATATTTGGTATGGGTAATTGTCCGAACTTAATGGTTTTCTCGTGTTATTTCTGATCATTTGTATGAATTGTTTATTCATAAATAATAGTCAGTTTATTGTTTGTTTTTGCTTATTGACATTGCGGTGGTGAGCTAAAAAAAAATTGTATTGCAGTGATATCCCAACGTCTATAGCTAATGATAGAAGGAGAAATGCTCGCGTAGTTTGACTCAAATAAGCTATATTCCTAAATAACTGCCGTCGGTCCACTGGTCATCTTCTGACAAGTATTCTTTTTACAGAAGAAAAAATGTTGAAGAAGATTAATAAGCAAAACTACAAAATCTTGCAAATACTTCCAAAGACGTAAAAAATGGGTTCTACGTCATATATAGCTTCTTACTCCAGTCATTATAGTAAGTTCACCTCGGAATTCGAGATACCCAGCTGTAAGTCTGTAAATATTGTATATTGACATCCTAAAAGTTGTCTCAAAACCTACATATGGTAGATACACCCTACCTGCACTATCTGTAATGGTATGCTGGCCAGTTTTTTTTGTTAAGGCGTGTATGAACTTTCAACAAAGCTAGAAATTCATAAAATTTCCTCAATTTAAACAAATTAGATCCGCACCACTATGACATTTTCTTGAGGACATCCTGTTTTAAAATATTTTGAACTTCAAATCATTGATTTATTAAACAGGGGGCGTAAAACGTAAACAGTTTTTAAACAAACTCTGTATTCTGCATTTAGTTTTCACTCGGTATGTAGAGAGCAGTCACTTTTGATTGTTTTTTTTTTTTGTTAAACTTAACGATTTAAAGATTTGTGAAAGTTAGGAATAATTGATTTTTGCGGGCAAATCTTCAATAAAAGCAATTAATATAATTTGAAGCAATTAATTATTTTTAATAAATTTTATTTTTTAAGGTATTCAATACTGCTTATAGGTAACATAATTTCGTAGCCACACACATACTAACGTACATATACAATAACCGCTATCGGATGTCTCTCAAGAATCGGACCAGACGTTGACGTTGAAAAATTGGCACACGTTGAAGCGTTAAAACACGGGCGATTATCGAATGGGGGTCTTCCCGGCCTGTCCAATCTTTTT